TGTGGGGGGCGGCGCGCTGGGTTGGGGTGGTGCTGTCTGTTTGTGTGTGTGAATGCGTGTGCTTATTTGAGGGGGTTATCTGCATACGTCAGGGCATAACTTAGTTTCCCCCAGTGGAGATAGATGACTGGGAAGCCCCAGGGAGCGTTATTGGAGTTTAAAGTTTTCCTTCTCGTTTTTCATCATTCGTCTTCAGGCAGGGGAGGAGGTGATGTTAGGAGGCTATAATCTACTCTACGAGGCGCAGTGTCAGAATTTGCAGGAATGGTGTAAATAGCGGCGGTGGTGTTAGTGGCTGCAGAGGTATTTTCTTTTTTTAAGAGGACAAAGTTTACAAAGTTTTTCTCATAAAAACAAGGTGGTACTAAAAGATAAAATAAAATGTCAGGAAGCAGGATCAACTTGAGCTGTGTCAGCAGTTTGAAAGTTGTTCATCGGTTTAGAAGTCTGTAGTAAAGCATAGAGGGAAAGGGTTTGCCAGGTGAGAACTTACACTGGGGTGGGCGAGCGTGTCACTGTCATTGTAGACTATGGACAAGGGAATAGCGACGTCCTGAGAATCTGCGCCCTCTGGCTCCTGCTTCACCTCAGCTGGTTCAGTCTGTGCTCACAGAGATACACAAAACACACAGAGTCGTGTTGCACTCAAATGAAACGGAGCACAATTAAATAATCCACAAGAGAACTGAAACACATACTTGGAAAGAAACAGGATTAAATAGAAGCATATAAATTGTAAATGCAACTCATTTTGAAAAAGGAGGAAAAATACTACTATATACATACAATGGAGAAAAATAAAATATATTTCCGTACACTAAAAATGAAAAATATACCGTCAATATTGGTATATATTACATACAGAGAAAATAAATGCAACATGACATTTGTCCAGCAGATGGCAGTGAAAGTCGGGCTCATGAAATACTCTTTTAGAAAGCAGCGTATTGATGGGAATCAGCTTCTATTCTGAATCTAATTTTATTTATCCGTGTATGTGTTTTTCTACCTTTAACTACTCCACCTTATATTCTCTGTAAGTGAGCCTTAATTGTGCTACACCGCCAACTGCAGCCTGAGTGCTTGTGCAAACACTTAAATGAATCAGCTGGCTTGGTCAGTGGTGTGACACTCTTTGTTACAGTTGAAGGAAATGGAACCTCTCCTTTCTTTATAACTGAAAAAGGACTTAAAGTAAAGACAAGGGTTCTCTGTCCCCCTCATGTTTCCATCTGCAGAGTCTGATCTGATAGAAGAAAATGTGATAATTAGAAGGGATTCTTCCTCCATCCCTCGATGTATTACTTAAAAATATAACAAGCCTCACATTTGGAAAGATGGCCTGTTCTCCTTGTTGTACTTGATAAAGAAGAAATACCAAAATCAACACTTTGCCAGTGCATTCATGTTTCAAACACTCGTAAAAACCAGCCCCAGCGCAAATGTTTATCCAGTTGGAAAGATCTATTTAAAATTAATTTGGCAGGATACAAAAAGTAAGCCAGATAGGAAACACACTGGCTAATAAGTAAGTTGCTGTGCCAAATACACAATTCTTAGTAATAATATGCTGAATGTACAGTACATTTTATAATCAATGCAGCTTGCATGAAAAAGAAAAAAAAAAAATGAAATGCTACACTGTAGCAGATATCAAAGCTTTCACTGGGTTCTCCTCGTCAACAGTGGCTTAAAAAATCATTAATGGTCACAACTCTTGGCTAAATGGTTATCAATACTAGAACCAAATAAACATATATATAAAATAAACACTTCGTAGGCATTCTCACACAATATGTTCAAATATATGTCACATAACCCAAATATATCTACTACAGGGTTGTCAAACAATGTGTAAATGTGGTGTGTATCCAGCCATTATTCTCTTCTTTGCAGCCAGAGATGCGATGGAGCTAAAAGACGATGAAATCTTCCCAACTAAGGATCAATCGTCTGGATGTCTTAAGTATTATTTGACTACTGATGAGGACCCAAGAGATTAATCTAAAAAAACATTGAAGAGCCGTTATAAAAATAATGTATGAAATTGAATTTGTATTTCATTAAAGCACTTCTGTTCTTAAAAAAAAGCAACTGATTCAAATACAGCCTCCCTTTATTGTACTTGAAGTTATATTTCCTTTAGAATTCGAAGAAAATACATTCTTCTACGTGATATTTTGTGGCGGTGATGTTACTGTATGAATCTAACTTTATACACATGTGAGAGCAGATCTGACATGTGGGTGTGTGAAGAAGGAAAGCTACTACCCAGCTGGACAGTTGAACCTGGTTACGTTTCAGTAAAGGGAAGGCAGAGTATACTGCGCAGTCCAAGCTGCCGCCACACCGGTCTCGACCTTTTGTCAGACTCACCAGGATGTGTCCCAAAAGCCCGTGCAGGTTGGCCGTCACATGTTGTCGCCTATCTTTTCAAAACAGCCCTGAGCTCCCCCAACAAATCTAATTCCTGCTCCTTCAGAGACAGGGGCATTTCAATAATGACTTCTGCGTTTTGTCTGCATCTGCACAACCAGAGGGGGGGAGAAAGAGAGAGAGAGAGAGACAGACAGAGGGAGACGGAGGACGGCTGTTGCCTGCTGTGGCTTTTGTGTGGGTGCTGCCGCTTTGGAGGCGGCGAACAGTGGAGCGTCTGATGAAACCGTCTCAGGTCGGGAACAAACGGCGCTGAATGAATGTTTGATTTGGTCTGGGCTGTCTCTGGACAGACGGCACAGCGTTGCGGCGAGGGAAATTCAATAAGAGACGGAGTGAAAAGATAGAGAGAGTGAGGGGTAGGGAGAGAAAGGGGGACAGAATGCACCTTTATATCATCCCTGGATGATTTGAAAGCCTGAGGAACAAAGGAATCACTCTCGATAGCCTCGATGTCCTTTATCCTTCGCACTTGCTCCTCCAGAGAAGTTCCCTCTGAAACACATGTTACACAGAAGAGAGGTTATGAACAATGTGCGCACACACACACACACACACAGACACACAAAGGGTCAGCCATCCCATGTCATTTTCTGAAAGGCACCAGATTTCATTTGGACTGGGCTTAGTTGATTGTATGTTATCTCTCTGTATAATGCTCCTTGACACATACAATATCAAATATCTCATATTCCCCTATTTTAATCTTGGACTTCTTTAAAAAAGCCAAGGGCATCGAGTCACTACAAAAGGAAAGTTGGCACAAAAAAAAAAATACTAACAAGATCATAGCCAGACAGTGAATTACACTCAGATAATGCATTCTAAAATAATCAAAATATGAACACAAACTCACTGCAGTGTAATCTCATTATGGAGACTAAATGTGATTAGGTGTCGTACACTTTTCATGTATCAGAAAGTATTTTGCTCTTGCTTCTCCAATCTAACAAAAAGACAGAACGGGTTTCCGGTAAATTACTCTTGGATATAAAACACATCAGGATTCTGCATATCAGATAACAAATCACTTCTAGAATTCAAGAGCAGTCTTTGTAGCGTAGGAGGGCAAAAATAGGTGTGCCAGGAAAGTTAGCAGCAGCAGTCTGAATGCTCCCATTATTCTGTGGCTGTCAATCTCTCCACTGATCAGTCAATATTCATCCCTCTCTCCCACATCCATCCGTCCTCTCCTGCACTCTCCCATCTCTCCAACTGTCAATCCAGCAGACATCCATGTTTCTCTGCTCCACTGATGAAAACAAGTACACAAATGGGAACACACACACACACACAAAGAACATCAGGGTACGACACAACTCCTCCCACATGTAGACGCGCGTTTGCAAACTTACATACTTTGCACTCACACTCACACGACTGCCATGAATACGTACATGTGGCATACACACGCACACGCACACAGAAACACAAACAGACAGACACACAGACAGACACACAGACAAAGCATGCAATTGGAGCTAATAGCAGGAATTAATTCAATACATTAGTGGCTACAGAGAGGGTGTCACAACAGATCTTCATGGTCCTGGTGTTTAATGAATAAATGAATATTTGTTCCGGCTTTCACAGCAAAGCATCACATGCTATCTCACACACACACACCCACACACACACACACACACACACACACCAAAAGGCAAACACAACCTATTATAGTTCATAATAGCACTCTAACAAACTCGGTTTTGATTTAAATGCACTGCAGAATTGGATAACTGAGTGACAAGTGGAATTAAGCCATCCCATATGACAGATTATCAGCTTGTCATCCTGTGCTGCGAAGACGCGAGCAGAGACGCATTGCACAGTGGCTCCAAAAATAGTCACTACCTTGACTGGGCTGCTAGATGAAGTCTAAACACTGGCCCAATATCCTCCTGCAGACTGTGGCCTGTCCTTCACACCCACTATCACCGCCGCTCACTGCACACGGCTGCATGAGCGTGCATGGGGCTGGAATGAAAGCTGAAACGCCCGTGACTGCCCGACAATTAATTCAGCACAATTTAATTCACTTTTTCAATTACCCCTTCTCTGCTGTCCTTTGAGCATGATCGCCCTACATGAACAACTACCACACAAACTGGCACGCACACACACACACACACACACACACACACACATACACCTGCAAGCATCTCCATGGCAGGCCCGTCTGTTGCTGGGATGTCCGTGTGCACTGCAGGAATCCATTAAGGCCTCAGACTTTTTGACAAACACATTATTGGTAGATAAAATGACTTCCATATGCTGTTTGTCAGATGTCAGAGGGAAAAGATATGTATTTCATGAGAAAATCTAAAATAATGGACTTTGAGTGCGGGCCTAGCGAGCTTAGAGGCAGACAAAAATCAATAGCCAAGCTGGGCGAGCGCACTCCGCAGCTCGGAGAGGTCAAAGTTGATATTTAATATTGACACATTATCCGGCAAATTAATTTAACAGACCAACTCAATTGTCACTGCATTAGGAACGCATCTCTGTCAGTGCTGAGAGGAGGATAAAGTGAAAGCTGAGAGAGAGAAAACTGACACAAAACAGACACAATTAAATGTTAAGTATGTACCGCTTTAAATGAGGTTATTAGCTCTCTGAAATGCACTACGACCATTACTGCGAACCAGGAAATGGGATCAAACTCAATCAATAAACTTTTTGTTTTGAATCTGCAGAAGAGAATAATGGATCGCGACTGAGCAATGTATGTTAACATGTATATTGCATAGCCTTGCATGTTCATGTGTGTGTGTGTGTGTGTGTGTAAATAAAAGAGGCAGTCAGAAAACTCACTTGCCGTCTCATTACTGAAATTAGTTGGACAGACAGCAGTGCTGATGAGTGGCTCGCAATCAATATGCTATTGTTCTCTCTAAATAGCTGTTTGTCCACTTCATTGATTGAGACCAGAGGACGAGGAGAGAAAATCAAACCAGCCAATGAAAACAGATTTCAGCTCATCTCCTTCAGCCTCGAAGACGAGAGCGTTACGCAGCAGATGCACTTCCCCGCCAGAAGAGGGAGCTGTTCATCAACACATGTCTATGTACCAGCCGAAGCCTTCGGCTACAGCAGCGTCGTCTTTGTAAACTTGACTTTGGTCTACAGTTTGTCAATCAAGAGCAGCCGAGCTGAATATATTGCTGCTGTTGATTAATTCCAGTAATTGAGTGCACTAGCGTGCCAGCTAAATTACCGCAGCACTTGTTGTTGTTGTGTGGAGAAAAAATAAATAAGAAGGAGAAGTAACCGCTTGTTTTATTGAGGTCATCAAATTGTGGCAAATATTTGCCTGTGTTTTGTAATTATATGGCATTTCATGAATTTATTAAAAATGATTATTTATGACGGGTAGTGTGACTTCAGCACGGTAAGCGCAAGAAATATATTTGTGACAGGATGTGTCAGAAAAATGGTGACTACCATTTTAATTCAGCCAGTTTAATCAAAGAATATATTACTATTCAATTTGTCAAAGAAAGAGATTAAGATTCCCAAAGTTTTTGTTGTAAATGTAATTTTTGTATATATTTCTAATTGCCTTCTCAATGTGTTTCACTGAGAATCTCATCACCGACACACAGGGAGGTGCAAACCAACAATGACATGAACTCCAGTTCTTAAAATACACGAGGCTAAACATTCATCTAACTTCTGTAATCCATGCCCGGCTGTCACACGCTCACACACACGCGCTCACACACGCGCGTACACACACACACCGCAACATCTCTTGGTTTCCCAGGTTTCACTAATGTGCCCTCCCCTCCGCTGCCCCACCTCTCTCCCTGCACCGCGGTAAAGATGTGTAATTCAATGCTCAATTTAGGCCCGTCTCAGTGGAGATTTTTTTGCCTGCTAATTGATAGAAATTAAGCCATTAATCAAGCCACTAGCCATCATTCAACCCAGGGAAGATGAATACAAACTTTCATAATAACCACCATCCCCATTTTAGCCCTCATTAGCATTAATTTTTAATGTAATTATGCTATTCTTTTACACTGAGCTCATAAATTACTGCTCTTTTGTTGCTGGCTGGCCTTGTAAAATCCAAAGTAATGCTTTGTAGTCTGATCTTTAAGGCAATTACTGGCTTCTTCACTCTTTTATCTCCCTGCATTTCCAATAACCTGCTCTCTAATGATTTATCTCCGCTGTACCCCCCCCCCTCCAATCCCCTTCGCCGCTCTTTCTCTCTCTGCACCAGCGGCCAACTGCCCCGCTGCCAGCCTCCGCCTCCAATCCCCCATCCGCCCACATTCTCCCCATCTCTTTACAGCAGCCCCAGATACATCAGGGATGCACACAAACACATGCACGCTTGCCTCCACCAAGTTAACTATATTAACACACTCACGCGTGTATTCGATGTGTCTGTGTGTGCGCGCGGTAACTTTGTTTACTATCTCCTTTAGTCATTTTCCAGCTCGCCCTTCATTAGTGAATATCCAGCTCCAGCAATGGCGACAACACCGGGGGAATGCCAAGGTAAGAGACTGGCGCTCCATCTCACTCTCTTTCTCTCTCTTGGCTGGTCTCCTGTGGGTCTTACCTGTAGGCTAGCTGCTCTTGTTTATGTAACCCCTGAGCTGGGTAAACACACACACACACACACACACACACACACACACACACACACACACATACACGCACACAGGCACACACTCGCAGAGCTTGGCATCAAACAGCTGAGTTAAGCTTAGCAGGGCTGCGTGCTAGGGGCGATAGAGGGGCTCCGGTCTGGCCCTGTTCTCAGCAGCAGCATCCTGGCTGCATCAAAGTCTTTACCATACGATTCTCCAGGCCCAAACAACAGGCTGCTCCAAAGCATGCCTGTGAATTGGACTGAGCAACAACAAAAAAATAAATAAAAATGAAACAATAGGTTACTTATTAAAATCCGACTGATGGGGATTTCATTATCACCACCAAATAACTCTCTGCGAGACGTTTTGTCTCGCAGATGCGGATTTCCATTACACTGTCATTAAAACAAATAAATAAAGAAACCTAATGCGTCTGCTTGGAGTCTACCAATGTCGCCGCTAATGAGATATTTAGTTGATATGACGTAGAAGTTTAAGCATGTCCTACTTAGGCCCAGAGCCATCGAGTCAGACCTCTACTTCCACACAGAAAGCCAGGCAGCCAACTGGCGTTATTAAAAAGGTGCCTGTTGTGGGCCTTGGTTAGGTAATACTTTTAGACTGTATTGATTAGGGGCCACTGACAGGTTCTGATGTTAGCCCTGGAAATGCATCAAGTGGCAAATGAGCAGCTATTAGTCCCATTGATTTGCTGATTTCAATTGATAGCTAGCAGGCCAAAGCTGCACGTCAATATTTGCATAGCTAATACCCTGCAGCTTTAGGCATCGCAAAATGAGACCTCAATGAGTGAGTGAGACAGAAAAGAAAAGAGAGACAGAGAGAGAGATGCATTCAAAGATAGAAAGAGAGGAGATGTGGATA